ATACATATTAAAATTGATAAATATTTCTGTCCATTTTCCTTATTTTATTTCATTGCAATTATAATTTTCTCCTCCTCTATTATCAAATAATTGAATTGTTTACTTAAATAAATGTTTTTAATTCCTCTAATTTTCATATATGATATTCCAATAAACATTTCTTCTATTATTTTCATATGAACCAGCCAGCTTTCATTTACAATAACTTAAAATAATTTTAATATAAACTTTGTAAAGTTATCAGAAATTTCAATCCATAAACCTTATTTTTTTGATAAAATATCATAGTAACCACCTTCACTAATTAATTTGTACGATATATAATTACATATTTTCAAAATGACCTTTATGTGACCTAAATCTTGTATTCCATCTTCCAATTTTTTAGCCGTAATTATAAATACCTTTTTCTCTGATTTAGCATTAACTTTAAATGTGAATTAAAACATACTTATTGAAATTCTTATGTAATTCCACCCACATACCTATTTTACATTCATTTTCATCATCATATCCTTCACCCCTAATATATCTTATTTAATCATTACAATATTCTATCCATGTAAGCTGTCTTCCACTTTCCTTATTTTCTTCAATTGTTATAGACTCCATAATAATAGACATCTGCTTCACTTATTATAATTATTAAATTCATACTCCCAATAATTCTCCCATAATTCTATCCATATTCCTATTTTTAATCCATTTTAATCGTAATTGCCTCCTGAATGTAATCTTTCTCCCTTCCATACAGCATACCACTTATCTTATTTCTACTAACCATTTGATTTGCCAATCCACTACAGATGTAAAATTTATTCTATATTGGTTTCAATTTTTGATTCAACTATCTTTTCTTTATTATAATTGATTAAACAAAAACTTTTTCATTATTCTTCCATCTAGAATGTATATTAACTCTCCATCTCTTTATTCAACATTTAGTATGGTTTAATATAATGAATTTTAAATACTTATCAAACCCTCAAATTCACCATAATTTGAAAATTAATTCCATTCATTCATTGCTAAATATATCAAATTCTTACATAAGCAAAACTAATTATCATTTGTAAAGGCGCTAAAATTGGATTGCATATAAATTAATTGAATTAATTAATTTAGATTGATCTTATATTAACGATTAAATTTATTTCGTTTAGTTAATTCATAATTTGAAATTAATAGCTCAT